GTTTGATTTTTGCATTATTATTGCATTATTTTTGGTCCAAAGACTAAGAAACTATATATTAAAAGTGTAAATATTTTTATCTTAGTCTTCAGGGTAATTACCTTTAGGTTGAAAACCCTTGCCATAAAACATCACTCAGAATTTTTTTTCATAGAAATTGTGTTAATAGATTTATTTTGTTTGTCTTCTTTCAATAAAGTTTCAATAAACTGTGTTTAAAACCACAGATTTACCATATATTTGACCAATCAGAAAATTGAATCTTTTAGCTAAGCTAATCAGTAATCACAGCTCATAACCGAGAAATTGAGCTTTCAAATCCATGTGTGTCCAGAATTATCTACATTTGAAAGTTAAAAGACTACTTTTTCTTATGACTCCATATTACATAGGAATGACAAATTAAGAAATAAAAAGTGAAATTTCTAGTTGAAGATATTTTTGAAGGGATATTACAATTTCTGTGCAGTTTGAGTACTTCTGAAGAATTTTGACATATTATATTCAAGACCTAAATCAACCCCCAAAAATAGCAAAACATGGCCTTTAAGCAACAGAGTCATTTCTGAAATTTTATTGGATAATTTTTAGTAACTGTTAATGTTGACTCAATCACATCATTGTGTAAATGGATAAATTTTATGTGGTTGAACAAACCACTAAAGTTACAATATCCCGGTTAATATCTGGATCAGTAAATGCCAGCAGACAATGTTAGTTAACTGAAGTGTTATTATGTGTTAATACCAGTGTCATTACCATTTAGCTATAATTAAAACTATCTACATTAACTACTACTTGGAACCTCATTGTCGCTGGCTTCCTGATTGGAAACTGATAACTTAAATACCAAGACACTTAATCTTCCTTTTAATTGGATAATAGTGCACAGTGCTGGTGTTGAGAAAATCTGTTCACCTCGTAACTATGCGTGGACAAATCTAATATTTACAGTGCAATTATACATGAGAGGTAAACAAGGTTAAGCTGTTCCTAAATATAGAATAGTAAAAAAACAACCAAGCATAAAATCAAATTAACCGGTTTTGATTGGATGAAAATGTGACCTTTGACCAATCACTTTGCTAATGATCTTCGACTTTCAGCAGAGGACAACAGTAGGCCCTAAACTAAAATTGAAGGAGAAATATTGTCATAATAAAACAAGTATGGATGTAAGGAAGATGTATTCCTGCGAATTATATTAACAATTATACGGTATATTACTGTAGATATTTTTTACTGAAAGATGCTGATATTTGGAAAGATGAATATTTTTGTAGTTTAGTCATACCATCATTTTCTCCCAACATCATTAATGTCATGTCTCCGGTTCCATCAAATATTTTGTTAGCGAAACTGATCTAGCATCAGCCATTTAAAACTGCGTGCGCAGCCAAAAGTTCAATAGTCTCATGTAGGGTATATTATTGTAGATATTTTTTAACTGAAAGATGCTGCTAATACACATTTTAATTTAAAATCTTCATCAGGAAGGAATGTGTTAGCAAAGAGCTAAAGGTATGTTTTAAAATCATCAGGGAAGACATAGCTAACTACATTGGATATAGAAGTCAAGTTGATATGTGAAATAATTATCATAGTTATCAACGAGGAGTATAGCCTTTAAAGGGACAGATGCACCATTTTTTTGACCAATCATACCTCAGAAACAGAAAATTTTTAGCTAAGCCAATCAGTAATAGTATTCACAGCTCACCGTTGAAATTTGAGCTTTCAAATCAATGTCTTTCCAGAATTATCTGCGTTTGAATGTTAAAAAGATTAGTCTTTCTGAGATACTGTCATAGAAAAGACACCTATAGAAATAGGAAAAGAAATTCCTAGTTTGAGATATATTTGAAGCAATTATGTACATTTTTAGTCTATTGACATATATTTAAGACTCAAATTAACCCTCCAAAATGGCGCATCTGTCCCTTAACAAGCATTAGAATGTTTGTAATTTGTAAACATATTGTTTGTCACTATGTTTTTCATGACTTTATTTGAATTATTCTACGGTTATAAACTGGAAGCTATAAGCTTTAAACATGGGTCAACTACCTTATAAACTATTGATAAAGCAATGACATTAACAAATATTATCAAATATTTCCTAAAAAACAACATTAAATAGTTGTCAAGTCAACAACATATCTAACATTTCTATGTTAAGTTGTTCTTCAGATTATTGTACATGTTCTACTTAGAGAAAAGACAAAAAATTTTTAGTGGGTTACTTATTTAGAGTCTCATTACATGATGGCATTATTTCATTAAATTCTACAAGGAAAATGGCTTTTTGTTCAATTTGCATTAAAAACAACTTTATCTTATTATGGAATATTATCCTGCAATTAAAAAAAAAACAGGAAACTTAATATTTTATATCTAGCTGTCATTTTTCAAAAAAAAAAGAGAAAAAAAAAGATTAATAATTATTTTGTCACACATTTTAAGTTTACATGTACTGTTTTGAAGAATAGAAAATAGAGCTAGGAAATTTTTGGAGTTATGTAGCTGAACCAGGAGGTCGCTCGATTAGCGAGTTGTGCTCGTTCAGGATTCATGGACTCAACTGGACGTTCAATAAAACAAGTTGGAACAGAGTTCCATGTGTGCCGAAAAAATAGTACACAGAATTCAAAATGGCGGCCAAAGGAATAGAAGAAAAATTTTGAATGATATATTCCGCTTTGGTACTGTTCAAATGAGGGCAGAATTGGAACTGACGGAACCTGTTCAGAACTTTAATCGAGTGCAACCCTGATTACTCAAGGCATTGCTCTCTAATCTAGATTTCCTTGGATCACTGGCATAGTTGAATGAAACAATAGAATGAAGTCCTCTGTGAATCACTGAAAAAATGAAAAAAGTAAAAGAATTGGCCAAAATTCTGTTTTCTCAGTAAAATTTTGCTGTTGGCAATGCATGACATGATTGGAAACAGAAAATAAGATGTATACTTCTATATCATTGATTTACTCTTTTTGATCTTTTTTAGAAATACACATAATAATTCAATATATTCTGCAATGAAAAGCACTTTTTATTTATTGTTGATTAAATAGTACATTATCTTATTATGGTATATTTTTCTGGAAATAGAAAAAAAGTAAAAATCCATTAAAAATCTTTTATGTCTTGCGTGTTTTCATGTTTTTGTTAAAGCACACTTAAAAGTTAAGTTTCTTTTCACCAAAAGGCGACATTCATTTGTCCTTAACAGATGCATGTGTTTTTTTGGTTTGTTGTGATTTCTGCATTGTTCCAAAACACTTAACAACAGGAATTGATAAATATAATTAAATGAAGACTTAATATAAAAAAAAAACATTTATAATAATAAATAAAGCCATAAATGTCTGTGATGGATTTTTGTAGCCTTTTGTTGATTGAAGAAATATTGCCATACATATCATATCCTTTTTATTGCCATACATATCATATCCCTTTTTATTGCCATACATATCATATCCCTTTTTATTGCCATACATATCATATCCTTTTTATTGCCATACATATATCCTTTTTATTGCCATACATATCATATCCTTTTTATTTCCATACATATCATATCCTTTTTATTGCCATACATATCATATCATATACTTTTTATTGCCATACATATCATATCATATCCTTTTTATTGCCATACATATGTCATTTTTATTGCCATATATATCATATCCCTTTTATTTCCATACATATCATATCCCTTTTTATTGAGATATATATCATATCTCTTTTATTGCCATACATATCATATCCCTTTTATTTCCATACATATCATATCATATCCTTTTATTGCCATACATATCACATCCCTTTTATTGCCATTTGGTAATATCCAGAACTAAAGCTGTCATTTTACAATCTACTAAAAAGTCGGCGAGAGGACTGATAGCTTGATATGTGGAAAAGAACATAATAAAATACTAACAGTTAAGTTCATTGATTAAACAATGATTAAAATTATGTTTTTTAAAAACACTGCAGACAGATTCGACTTGAAAATATGAAGAAGTAGAATTGAAAATGACATTATTGTTTGATTTGATATAAAAATTACTTTCTTGTCTGTCAACAGGAAATTGTATTTTCTCAAAGATTACATACTTAAGTACTTTTTATACAACTACTGGTATAGTATATATTTATGTTGACGTAAACTGTCTGCACCCATGTCCATCTGTATGTTGGTACTACCTTACAAACCTTTGTATCCAATTTTGACCAAATTTGTGAAATTATTATACTTAAAATGAAGGTTAATTTTGAATTTGAGTGCTTTCAGAATATTGAACGCTGTATTCTCCCATATCTTCCAATTCATTTTCATAAATGTGTGTAGATATATTATTTATAAAAAATAAAGATCAAGTAAGAATTTGAGCAGTTTTCAAGAATTGGAAAAAATAACACCTTTATTATTCCATGTAATCTTTAATATCGAAAATGTCAACTTTTTGTAATGAAAAATGATTAAAGAAATAGTCAATTTCAGATTTTTACCCTCAGGTTACCCCATATTATAAATAATGAAATTGTAATAGCTCTTGTATTTTCGGCAAATTTCATAAAACTTGGTATGTAGGTATATCACCAAAAATGAGCATCAATTGAGAACATTGGCAGTTTGCATTGATTTCAGAACTCAAAACACATTACCCCCTGTGACCTCCAAAAATGAAAATCCGGAGGTCCTTTGTTTTTCAAGTAGTTTGATGGCTGTGGCTATTTGCACCACAACAGTACAATAATGGGCATTAGAAAAAATGGCCATCCCTACCTAATACTAACAAAGTCACTTAATATCATTCTTGACAATCAAATGGCTTCAAGCTTTAAAAAAAACCCCAAAACTAGCACGAATATTGTGTCCTATCTTATCAGTACTGGTGTAAACAGCCATAGAGAATACTGGTCGAAAGTTTCTGGTTTGACCAAATGCTTGCTGAAATGAGCGTATTTGAACGTGTTTTTATATCTTCTAGGTTACCATTAGAAACAATGAAGACAAAAATACGTAAAAATCTTCAAACATTAGAATTAGCTGGTATGGTTAGTAAGAAGAATAAGTATCAAGATTTAGTCAATGCTGTTGTTCAGGTATAGTTACTGCATTTATATTGATTTAAATCCTGTGGCATTTTTATTTCGTTGCCTCCATTTGTTATCGTGATCAAGTCATTTAGGTTATGAAGTAGTTAATGGAATCAAAATGACAGTAGCCATGTAACGTTAAGACTTTTTAATGCCTTCTAAATTCTTTAACCAAATAACAATGTCTGCTCTTGTGATAATTCTCTCAATAGACTGACACTACTTTATAGTATAAATAAGCTAAATCAAATTACCTACTTCTGTTTTCTGAATTTGTTGTGTAACATTAAATCCAAAATTTCATACACTTGATTAATTTGAATCCGATTAAATTGTCGTCTGCCAGGTAAAATATTGCGTAAACATAAAGATCGGGTGTTCAACCCCAGTATGGATAAAGATATATCTACGGATTTTTCGATTCCATTTCCATGTTTGTTCAACCCAGTTTTCCCCTGCTAGTGATGCAGGCAAGAGGGGCTGACATGGTAAAGCTTTGGATAGGACAATAAACCAAGGCCCTGTGTGCTACAGGCTGTGCACATTAAAGATCCCTTGACAGTTGGAAATCGAAAAAGAGCAGGCTAATGCCAATGTCCTGGCAAAATTTCTCCCTCATTGCACCCTGCATGGCATTGCCCATCTTCATTAGCCCACATGATTTAGGAAAATAGGACTTAAAACTCCATTTCATTTTTTGTATTTTTAAATCTGAGGAGCAGATACGCTAAAAAGTGCCTTGTTGTTTGAATGAATAATTAATCACTGTGTACATCAAAAATAGAAGGCTATTGGTTGCTAATCGTTAGTAAATTCCCCTTATTGTTCACTGTATTGGTTGGCCCATCATCGTGAACCCATGCATCTGAACAGTATGGCATATGTGTACAGATAATGCCTAAATTAGCTGTCCTCATTAGTTGTATTTTATACCCCCCACAGGATATAAGAAACCAAAGACGTTATAGAAATAACAGAAAGCAAGAATTAATGAGGTTGAAAACCACCATAAAGAGTTTGAATGAAAAGAGGACATTTTTTGAGTCTCAGATTGATTACTATAATCAATATGTTAAAACTTGTTTACAGAATTTACAACAAACTGGCAAGTAAGTGTCTCTTTCTTTATAATGTTTTATCACGAGGAATCATGTTAACCAAACAACGTATGCCAGTGTCTGTTCGTCCTTTACAACGTATATAAAACAAACAATTTTCAGAACTATATTGTCTTCTAATGCAAATGTCGTTAGTATTTATCAATCAAATGTCTTATTTTAAGTTTCAATGTTGATCTAATAACATTTTGATTCATCAATTATTTAGTCAAAAATATTGTAGAGCTAACAGACCTACAGAAAACCTGTGATAGGGTGAAAAACCTGAGAGCAATGTACATCTAGCTTTCATGGTGCATAGTCCTGCATGCTTGCAGTGATCTACATACTTTCTACATATATGTGTACAATTTTCAACAAGCTTTCCCCTCAGTGATGCATGTAAGAGGGGCTGACATAAAAGCTTTGTTTGAATTTAAAAAGAAGAAGGCAAATGTGGCTGTTTTGGCAATATTTTCTTCATTGCATGGCAGCCATCTTTATTATCTCAAATAAGTGCAGCAAAGAAGAACAAGAAACTCATGTCATTTCCAAAATTTGAGTACAGTATTTCAATCTGATTTGAAACCAATGACACATGGTTAAACTTAAAGGGGTATTCTGCTTTTTGGTAAAACGTTTTTGTTATCAAAAACATTTGTAAATTATACCTGAAAATATTTCTAAATTATGCTATTAATATCTTTGTATCAAACTGAATTTGATTTAAAGGGTTAATTAAAAACAGAGAGTACTAATTGTTAATTAAGTAGTTTGTCCTAGTTGTGGTGTGCAGCTTTAATGGTGGCTCAATATTATTTGTTGAAACCTTTTAGAATACGTAAAAGACATATTTCTCTACAATTAGGCATTTATTTTACTCAAATCTGCACAGTAGTTTTCTAACAGCTTCCAAACAGCATAACAAACTTAAAAACCTTACGTAATGTTTTTAAATATTTTTGGCGTTTAAAGATTAACAGCTGGATTTCTTTAGTTAGAACTTTCAGATACATTTTTTAGATTTTGGTGTATAGTTTTCACAAATTTGAGCAAAAAAAAAATTTCGGCCAACAAAAAAAGCGGAATTTCCCTTTGAATTCTTTCATGATTTGAGTTCAATACTTTCAACATGTTACGAATACATGTTTATACTTATAACATTCTACATGTTATGTTATTAGGAAGAATAAAAGAGTTGGTTTGTTTAAAAAACAAGATAAATCTAATAAAAAGAAAGTACAAGGTTCTATACACTACAGTGCTGCCAGATTACACGAGAAAGGTGTCATATTAGAAATAGAAGGATTACCAACAACACAGTAAGTATTAGCACTTGCTCTTTTATGTTTATTGAATATGTTTTAACATGATTTGAATACTTTGATCAACATACTTTCAACATGATTTGAATACAATAATCAACATTCTTTCAACATGATTTGAATACAATAATCAACATACTTTCAACATTTGAATACAATAATCAACATACTTACAACATGATTTGAATACAATGATCTACATACTTTTAACGTGATTTGAATACAATGATCAACATACTACTTTCAACATGATTTGAATACAATGATCTACATACTTTCGACATGATTTGAGTACAAAAATCTACATACTCTCAACATGATTTGAATACAGTGATCATTAGTGAACATACCTTCAGTGAGATATGAGAGTAATACTTCCTCTAACAGACATAATTTTGTGTGATTTCTTCCTTATCTCTCTTCTGAAGACTTAAAAACTAGAACAGATGACAAAATTTGACAATTGGAACTAAATTATGGCAAAATTTTTATTTATTGAATGAAGTCATCTTAAAATACAGTAGTCATATAATAGTTATTCTTGGTACAATACATAAATTAAATATTATATTGGTCTTAGTTTTTGAGTCAAAATGAATTAGGACTATCCCTCTAATATTCTTCTAATAAAAATTGAAATAATTAGCCTTTAGATTTCGTTATATCTCCTGTTATATTTCTGTAAAGCTCATGTCCCTGTGGAGTATAATTTCCCACTTTTATGCCGGCTTCCGTTTAATAATTTTAGATTGCCATGGATGTTTTTTTTCAGGTTTAAAAACGTATTATTTGACATAGCTGCAACTGAGAACCCTGGAGTGTTTGATATTAATGCTAAATTTATGGGGGTTAGTATGGATAAAGTGGAAGTTGTTTTCCAGGTAAGACCAATACGATACCTCAACATGTTGTCTTTATATCTTATCATGGCAGCTTGAATTGTGACATGAAAGTTACAATCTATTAAATAAACCATTTACGATCGTACCGTAAAATGAAGCCTGAAATTCAAAATCCAAAACAACATATTGGCAAAAGATTGGTCGCAGCTAATAAACTTTTCACATGAGGAAGTATATCAAACATAACTGAGTAAGTATTTCATAATGAAGGTGGTATCAGGTGTCTAGAAGAGTAAGCGTTTCCTGTCTGGCGCCACATCTGTCAGTATTCTGAGAAACACTGATCAACAGATGATTTTGATGACTGGTCGTCAGAGTTGGCCAGAGAAAAATGATTCAGGTAAAACAGAAAGAAAGAAACAACTTTTTTTTTAACAAGGATAACTATTAGGCCTAAGAAGATATACCAGCTGGTCTTTGGCCAAATCTCTTGACATTGATTTTTCACAGAAACATATACATTTAGTGTTGGCCTAATTACCTCATTGGATTAGATTAAAGCTCACCACCAACATAATAAAGCAGGGAACAGCAAATATTAACATCTAACTGTCTGGAATTCAACTTTAACAGTTGACCAAGCAATTATATTCCTTTAAAGGGGCATTGTTGAAAAATTTTCATTATCAAAAATGGCTTAAATTATACCGGAAAATATTCATTTATGTATCTACTTGATCAACCTGAATTTGTTTTTAAAGTGTTAATTAAAAACGGAAAAAACTTGAAAATTAAGCAGCTTCATCTAGTTTTGGTGTTGGGTTTCATTAAGACTCAATATTTTTAGTTGAATCCTTTAGAATATGTAGCAGACATAATTAGGCATTCATGTTGATTATATTCCAGTAGTTTTCATAAACCTCCCAAAATGCATAACAAATTTAAAAAGATTACTCATGCCTTTTAAATAGTTTTGGCGTTAAAAAATTATGGGAGGATTTTTTTAGTTAAAAACTTCCAAATACGTTAAGCTACTCTAGATTTTGGTATATTTTAATTTTCATAAATTTTAGCTCAAAAAAATATTCGACCTCAGAAAGAAGATTTTTGTATGTAACACTTTCAGTTAAGTCAAGGGATACATTTCTCTAGATTTTGTTAAAGAGATTCAATTTATTTGAGCAGAATTCCCCTTTAAAGCTAAGATTCCATATACGCGTCATACGTTAAAAATCAAAATGGTTGGTTTAAGAGGGTATGATTCCATATATGCGGAAGCGGTATCCGTCATGTGGTCTCTGTCATGCGTAAAAAAAAAATCGCCAGGTGCAGCGATTTTTGAAGCATCCTGACGCCTTTCCGCTCGGAGATCTCCCAAATGTGACGTATTTTGTGGGGATTCCCTGTCTTTTTTATGCACCAAAGCATCCATCTGTCTAGAAGTCCGTGCGTCAAAAGAAAGATAACGCATACGTTTCACGCACATATGGAACCATATTTGACGCATGAGGGATCCGCAAGGGCCATTTATGTCTGCATGATGCGTATATGGAATCTTAGCTTTAGGCAAATTTCTTTATTTTCCATTTCTCTTTTTCATTGTTGAGCCTCAGATATTGCCATGGAAATTGTTATATACAGTACATTTATCATTTTCTGGTTTTAGTAAACAAATTTCTTTCATATTTTCGTAAATGATAGACAAAATATGATTGAACTTACAAATTAGTGTCTAAACTAATCACATTAAGGCAAAATATTAATATTTTTGCTTAATGATCTATAATATTTTTGATCTTTTCTGCCTCTAAGCTTGGTGTGGGCAGAAAATTGTGTCATTAATGAGTTGGAATTAATAGGACTTGACAGCTCAATGAACATGTGTCTACATTTCAGACTCTTTTATCCAGGAGCATGACAGTTCAAGGAAGAATTTTTTTACCTCCATAAAATGAAATGAGTTTTTGATAGGATACAATATCAAAATTATTTTAAGATAAATTTAATAAGATTAATTTAAGATAAAACACTAGGAAAATATGACCATGTCACCTTGATAGGAACTATGTAAAGGGAAGCCTAGTTTAATTGATATCAAGTGATCTGTAAAAGATTTGATTTCAAAGGACTGCAGTCATTAATCCTTAATATAAGGATAAAATCTCAATTGGCAACTGTAACAAAAAAGACTAATCAACAAAATTACCTCAAAAAAATTGAGTCTAATTTTAAATTTTTTTAGCAAAGGGAGCACCTTCAATTTTATGTCCTAAAACATTCGAAAACAAACCCTTTTTTTATTATTTTCGAATTGAGTTTATGCAGTAATGACTGATTAAGTAATATTAAATAATGATCATGTATGAGTTTCATAATGCCCTGGGGTTCTGTAGAATAGTCAATTAGAGATCTGGTTCATTTCATGAAGTCATTTGCTTGATTACATTTAATAAATGGTGGTTGTGGGCTTTAATCTGGATCAGCATCGAAAGGTTGATGAACTAGAATAAATCATCTTCACTTATATGTCTTGTGACCCATCAGTAAAGATTTGTTCAAAACCAGTGAAATATAAATTATTGGTCTATTCCAGGATTTACTCCAGCTACAATATGAGGGTGTGGCTGTGATGAAGATGTTTAATAAAGCCAAAGTCAACGTTAATCTTCTCATATTTTTACTCAATCGTAAATTCTACGGTAAAACCATTGCTAAATAGTTGAATCTCTCATATAGAGAAATCTCAACAATTGTGATACTTCAGCACGTAATATAGCTGTCTTGATTTATATGTTCTCTTTGTAATTAGTTTTGTAAATACAACAGAGTTTTAGCCTTGGTTATCAAAGAGTAGAACTATTGGAAAGGAATACCTTACAGAAGAAGGAACATTTTTGATTTCAAGAATGAAACAAATACAAAATTATGTAAAATGCATGCATGCTTCCAAATGTATAATTTTTTAATGTTTTTTTTTTTAGCTATGCTATCTTGATATTGAAAGTGCTATATTGATGTTTGTCATATTGCTTATTAAATAGATATTAATTTTTATTGACAGTTGACATTAGCAAGATTAGTACTAATTGATGATTAGTAATATTACTTAGATTTTGAATTCATAGTTGCTTCGGTATAGCTCTACACCACAGGGAACAGACTCTACCAAGAAGCATTCTGTAGTAATTACCAATCGATTCCACTGGAACAAAGCATGCCTTATACAGGTCAAAATATTGCCCCCTTTCTCTTCTCTTGTTATGGAAAAAAGAAAGGTTATTAGTAAAAGGTTTATGACCATTACTTTGTCTAAGATTGAAGTGTTTGTTACTAGAATTAGCCGCATTTAGGTGATTTGTTGCATTTTTTTTTTTTTTGTATTCTTTTTTAATGATTCCCTTCACTCACTACATTGGCTTCATCTGAACAATTTTAATAGAAATATGTACATTTAAATGAGGTTTTTATGTTCCAAGTTCACAATAATTAAGGATAACTTATATGTGCAATGTAAATAATAAGCTGATAATATACTGTCATGGTGAAAAAAATGTCAACAAATTCTTCTGTTAAACGCACACTAAAAGGGACAGATGCAGATGTGCCATTTTTTTTTATACCAATCATACTTTAGTCTCAGAAACAGGAATTTTTAGCTAAGCTAATAGTAATAGTGCTCACGGTCAAAATTTGAGCCTTCAAATCCATGTGTGTCTAGAATTATTTGTGTTTGAAAGTTATTTTTTTGAGACACTGCCATATATAGAAAAGACATCTATAGAAAAAGGAAAAGAAATTCCTTTGTTTGAGATATTTTTGAAATAATTATGCGATTTCTAGTACTTCTGAAGACTATTTACATATATTCAAGACTCAAATCAACCGTCCCAAAATGGCGCATCTATCCTTTTTAATGCAGCCTTATATTGGTAAGGCTATTGGTATAAAAACATTACTGGATATCTGAACTAAAAACACTTTATGATTTCATTGATACATATCAGTTTTTTATTTTAATATGCTTTCTATCAGCTTTTATTGCACTTAATTTAGGGGCCTATATCCCTTTGAATCTGATATTGACATTATATGATACTATTGCACTTAAAGTTTTAAGTTATAAGACCCCAGATGTGTACAGTGTATAGTTTTGTTAGGATCAAATTTATTTAAAAATGGACCAAAGAACCAATTGAAGACCATTCCATATGAAAGAGATTTTAAAGAGGCTTTTTTGAATTTTTTTTAATGTATCAAGGACACTAAAAGTTTGCAACATTATAATTTCTATCCAATTGCCTGTGGTTCTTGCAGCACTGAAAGTGTTGAATTATGTCACTATCGAAAAGTTGCTTCTAATATTAGGACCTTTAGTGATGATAGTGACGTAAAAAATGTTAGTTATGATGGAGTTGCAATAACCATGGTTGTATGACTGTAAATTGATTCTATCAGTGTCCCAGATACATTATATAAAATTTAGAAAACCTCTTTACAATTCCCTTTAGTATTATAAGATTATACTTTGTTAAAAAATGGACCATTTTTATAAAATATATATACCAATTACACTCAATATTGACCAAATATTACATTCCAATTATCAACATATTGAACAAATTTTTATGATTCCATTCCAATACATAAATTGTTTTGATAGAAAATATCGTTACAATAATTGGTTCAAATTTCACTTTTTAAAAAAGCTTTTATATTTCAACTAAGCTTTCAAATAGCATTGAAAGGTTTTCAAAAAATATGGCTTCAAATGAGATTTAATGAAATTTTAAAGCCTTTTAAAAAGTCGACCAAAGGAGAGGTTATGATTCAAAACGTTTTTTTTAAGTTAAGACCATAATTAATATGTAGTTTCTCTATGGCCATTTAATATGACAATATCCACTGTATCGTCATATTCCTAAAACCTGCATCCTCAAAGGATGAATTTGGCTAATAACCAAGAACAATTTGATGATTGGTTAGCTCAAATGAGCACTTAATTCTATAATATGACATCTATCTAGGGGTTTCAAGCAATTTTGAAATAAGATTAATAAACTGGAAATGTCTTTGTTTATTTAATACATACTGGAATACACAATCATTCATATAATTAGAGTATTAAATAAATAATTATTAGAACTGAAATATTGCTGTAACATAAAGTCTTAAATATTAATGTTACATGTAATGTTAAAGTCTGAAATATTACTGTTACATGTAATGTTAAAGTCTGAAATATTACTGTTATACGTAATGTTTAAGTCTGAAATATTACTGTTACACGTAATGTTAAAGTCTGAAATATTACTGTTATACGTAATGTTTAAGTCTGATCCATAAAGCTGCATCTATATATGTTATTTACAATTACTAAATGCCATTTAAAAACTTTGAAGTCCCGTAGTATTTTACTGGGTAAAAGAATAATTATAAGACATCATAGCTTTGTGTAGAGTAATGTTTTTTATCCTGCTTACCTGAAACCATATAATTTAGTCTTGAAGCTTATAACTACATGAAGCTTTTTGAAGTAATTTTTTTTCTCATTCAAACCATAAAGTTCTTTGACTGACTGTTAGAGAATTATTTTTAGATATAATCCAAGGCTTTGACCGCGAGACTTAATCCTAATGCGATCTTTCCATGATAATTCATACCAGTGACAGACGATGTTTTTGGCCATGGCGTCAAAGAATGGGCCAGATATCTTGCGTGTAATATTTATTCTATTTGTAAGTGTTATATTAACTTAGGATTGCTTTTATGTGGCCAATATCAATTATTAAAGGGATTATAAGAAGGTTTTCTAAAAAACATTTTATGTGTATCGGGGACACTAATAGCACACTGGTGCAAATTGATGCTATCAGTGTCCCTGATACACATATAAAATTTTCGAACACCTTCTTACAATCCCTTTAAGTTATCCTTGCCTTTTTGTTAGAATAGGGTTTTTAAGAATCTGAAATTTTCTAATTGTACTCTAGGGTGGATTGTTAATTAGTATAGGATTGCTATTGTAAATTGCACATATAACCTCTATATTTCTATTGTATATTTCTCTTTTAATACTATCTTCTTTTTTATATCACTTTACACTAGGACCATCGGGGGATCTGTTTCACGAAATCAAAAGCCAGTTTTGGTCATAAACGTGTGATTTACACTCTAGTGGCCTAATTTGAGTCTATCTGTATCTCTTTTCAGTATTAAAATGCAATCTTCTGTTCCACTGCAATTCATCAAAAACGTAATAGCAGAAGTTTACACTGCAGTCAATTTTGTTCTGAAAATGACAACAGTGTAAACTTCGTGAGTATGTTTCTGTTCAACTGAAGATAAACCAAACTTTGGATTTTAATATTGATATAGTGATATAGGTAGCTGAAAGAGTTCTATTTACTGGTAAAGCAATTATTAAGTCGAATTTACATTCTTATATTTCCTGAATTTAAATTCGATCCGTGAAATATGATACATGGATTTTTATATATTTCCTCTTGGTGGTTTCTAAATGCCATACTTTTGATCTGATGTTCTTTAGTTTAGTTTAGTATATTTTAATCTCGAACACTATTTAAGCCACTATTTCCTATATTTTAATGTGTATATTCTATTTTTTTATTCTTTATCCTGGAATGCAACTTAAATCTACATATTAAAATTCATTTGCTTAAAGTGTTTTATCATTATTTTTAATCGAGATATCTATTAATAAAAAAATTATCTACTCTATATCAGGTTAAGGAAACTGCCTATTATATAGGAATTTGTGAATGTAGTTGGTTGGTGAAGGGGGGCGTTTTGATGCAGTGATGCAGGTAAGAGAGACTGACATGGAAAAAGCGTCTAGTCGTTCGGATGGGACAATAAACCGAGGACCAGTGTGCTAAAGGCTGTGTTAAAGATCCCTCGACAGTTGGAAATCGAAAAAGAGCAGGCTAATGCCGCTGTCCTGGCAAAATTTCCCTCATCGCACCCTGTAGGGCGTTGCCCGTCTTCACTAGCCTACATGGTGCAGAAAAGTAAGACGTAAAACTCATGCATTCATTCATTATGGTGTGAGGGCACCTTTAGTCAGATATATCTACCCTGTACACGAAGTAGGAGAAATGATTTACATTGACATCGTAATATAGGCTGCCAGTTACGATCCGATCTGTTGGTATTTTCAATTCAACAATTCATTCTGGTGGAGTTTTTTTGGGACTAAGTCCGTATACAAACTACCAAACCATCAGCACAGAATCTTCCAACTCAAACAATCTAACTACTTCCTTGTTAGCGACATCAGCACCCGCTAGAAGCAAATGTTTACCCGTCGTCTACCAGCCAACCTTGTCTACAAACAATCTGATTAAATAAGTTAACGAGTTTTTTTTCTTTTTTCGTATATATATTTCGTCTACACTGGGTACAAAATTAATAAATTGTTATTTTAATGAAATTAATCGACATAACGCTGTCTGAACATACTGAATTGGGATGTTATTACTCATCTTTGTAAATCAGTACCTAGTCATTCTAGTGGCAGAGCCAAAGGGGGGCAAAGGGAGCAGCCACCCACCTCACTGCCACCCCCCGGAAATGCCAGCAACTTCAAATATTACGCCCAACTCGAACGTAAGCCTGGCTCCGCCATTGGCCATTCCGGATGCCGAATTGTTATAAATAAATACTTTCATTCGGAAAATAGAAAGAAAATTAATACATTACTAGTGGCTACTCCAGTCTCCCGAGACAAGGGGTACAAATAGGAGGCAGACTGATTTAATGACAGATTTGATTTGGTATACTTACACTTATAAAACCTTCATATTTTCATTTTTTTGTAGAAAAAATAAGGGTTACATGTACAAATCATTTTTTTTTATATATATAAAAGGGGGGGAGGGGGCTTATTTTTCTTAAATTTAATGAAACTGATACTAAAAATTAAAACAATAATATAATTTGAGCTTCGAATCAAAAACATATGGAAAATCCAATTGGTTTAGCAGTATATAGCGTCTCAATCCAATGAGCTTCTCTAGCTTGGCGGAATTTAGTCCCTATCTAAAAAAAAGGGGGGGGGGGGGGGCTGGCTATAAGTAGATTCATATCTTATATTTCAAAAATCTCGTTAAATCTCACTGGGACGACTGCTTTTAGCCTTTAAGCTTTGATAGTCGTATAATGTTCGCAAATCATCAGACACTGTGAATCTTTGACGGGTCTTATACAAGAATTTATTGAGAAGACAATTACAGACTAATTTCAAGTCTGCTCCACTTCTTGGGTTTCTATCCTGTCGCTGTTTATAGTTTTCAACATTTATTAGGTGTAGGAATGGCTGTCAAAATGAAATGAGAAATAAGTTTCAGACCTTCTTCAAGAATACCTATCTTCTTGGGTTTCGTTCCTGTCGCTGTTTATGGTTTTCAACATTTATTACGTGTAGGAATGGTTGTCAAATTGAGATGATAGATTGAAGTTTTACATCATACTGTCATGTGAGTGACTTCATTGAAGTCATTCCATCCTAAAAGAGCTCTTCCAAATCTATCCCTCCCCAGAAGAGCTCTTACAAATCTATTCCGCCCCAGAAGAGCTTTTCCAAATCTATTCCTCCCCAGAAGAGCTCTTTCAAATCTATTCCTCCCCAGAAGAGCTTTTCCAAATCAATTCCTCTCCAGTAGAGCTCATCCAAATCTATTCCTCTCCAGAAGAGCTCTTCCAAATCTATTCCTGTCCAGAAGAGCTCTTTCAAATATATTCCTCCCTAGAAGAGCTCTTCTAATTCTATTCCTCTTCCTCCCCAGAAGAGCTTTTCCAAATCAATTCCTCTCCAGTAGAGCTCATCCAAATCTATTCCTCTCCAGAAGAGCTCTTCCAAATCTATTCCTGTCCAGAAGAGCTCTTTCAAATCTATTCCTCCCCAGAAGAGCTCTTCCAAATCTATTCCTCCCCAGAAGAGCTTTTCCAAATCTATTCCTCCCCAGAAGAGCTTTTCCAAATCTATTCCTCTCCAGAAGAGCTCTTCCGATTCTATTCCTCTCTAGAAGAGCTCCTTCAAATGTAATCTTCCCCAGAAGAACTCTTTCAAATTTATTCCTCTCGAGGAAAGCTCTTTCAATTCTATTCCTCTCTAGAAGAGCTCCTTCAAATCTATTCCTTTCCAGAAAAGCTCTTCCAATTCTATTTCTCTCCAGATAAGCTCTTTCAAATCTATTCCTCTCCAGGAGAGCTCATCTAACCCTAACCCAAATCTATTCCTCCCCAGAAGAGCTCCTCCAAATCTATTTCTCCGCCAAAGAGCCTTTCCAAATCTATTTCCCCCAAAAGAACTCTTCCAAATCTATTCCTCTCCAGAAGAGCTCTTTCAAACATATTCCTCTTCAGTAGAGCTCTTACAATTCTATTTCTGTCCAGAAGAGCTCTTCCAACTCTATTTCTCTCCCATAGAGCTCTTGAAATATATTCCCCTCCAGAAGAGCCCTTTCAAATCTATTCCTCCCTAGAAGAGCTCATCCAATTCTATTCCTCTCTATAAAGGCTATTCCAAATCTATTTCTCTCCAGAAGAGCTCTTCCAAATCTATTCCTCTCAAGAGCTCTTTCAAATCTTATCCTCCCCAGAAGAGCTCTTACAAATCTAATCCTCCCCAGAAGAGCTCTTTCAAATCTATTCCTCTTTAGATGAGCTCTTCCAAATCTGTTCCTCTACAGAAGAGCTCTTCCAATTCTATTTCTGTCCAGAAGAGCTCTTCCAAATCTGTTTCTCTCCCATAGAGCTCTTCAAATATATTCCTCCCCAGAAGAGCTCTTTCAAATCTATTCCTCCCTAGAAGAGCTCTTTCAAATCTATTCCTCCCTAGAAGAGCTCATCCAATTCTATTCCTCTCTATAAGAGCTCTTCCAAATCTATTCCTCTCCAGAAGAGCTCTTCCAAATCTATTCCTCTAAAGAGCTTTTTCAAATCTAATCCTTCCCAGAAGAGCTCTTTCATATCTATTCCTCCCCAAAAGAGCTCTTCCTAATCTATTCCTCCCTAGAAGAGTTCTTCCAATTCCATTCCTCTCTAGAAGAGCTCTTCCATATCTATTCCTCTCTAGAAGAGCTCTTACAAATCTATTCCTCTCCAGGAGAGCTCTTCTAAATCTATTCCTCCACAGAAGAGCTCTTTCAAATCTATTTCTCCCTAGAAGAGCTCTTCCAAATTTGTTCCTCTCCAGGAGAGCTCTTCTAAATCTATTCCTCCCCAGAAGAGCTCTTTCAAATCTATTCCCCTCTAGGAGAGCTCTTCCAATTCTATTCCTCTCTAGAAGAGCTCCTTCAAATCTATTCCTTTCCAGAGGAGCTCTTCCAATTCTTTTCCTCTCCAGGAGAGGTCTTCAAATATATTCCTCCCCAGAAGAGCTCTTTCAAATCTATTCCTCCCTAAAAGAGCTCATCCAAATCTATTCCTCTCCAGAAGAGCTCTTCCAAATCTATTCCTCCCTAGAAGAGCTCTTCCAAATCTATTCCTCCCTAGAAGAGCTCTTTTAATTCTATTCCTCTCTAGAAGAGCTCTTCTAAATCTATTCCTCTCAAGAGCTCTTTCAAATCTAATCCTCCTCAGAAGAGCTCTTTCAAATCTATTCCTGCCCAGAAGAGCTCTTCCAAATCTATTCCTCCCTAGAAGAGATCTTCCAATTCTATTCCTCTCTAGAAGAGCTCTTTCAAACCTAATCCTCCCCAGAAGAGCTCTTTCAAATCTATTCCTCCCTAGAAGAGCTCTTCCAATTCTATTCCTCTCAAGAAGAGCTCTTTTAAATCTAATCCTCCCCAGAAGAGCTCTTTCAAATCTATTCCTCTCTAGAAGAGCTCTTTCAAATCTTTTCCTCCCTAGAAGAGCTCATCCAATTCTATTCCTCTCTATAAGAGCTCTTCCAAATCTATTCGTCTCCAGAAGAGCTCTTCCAAATCTATTCCTCTCAAGAGCTCTTTCAAATCTATTCCTCTCTAGAAGAGCTCTTCCAAATCTATTCCTCCCTAGAAGAGCTCTTCCAATTCTATTCCTCCCCAAAATGAATCTCTCAAATTTGAAACGTAGGCCTATTTCACTCATAAAAATGTATTCAGCGATTAACCATGAATAGATATCATACTCCATATATCAAGATAGTTCAAATACGTGTTAGGAAATGGCAGCAGTAGATTCCTCTCCATTCCTTCCACTGGCATTAATACCCCCATGGTCTTCCAAGCACTCTCTTAGGGAGGAATTCCTCTCTTGCTGAGAAGTAGTGATATAAAGTATACGAATATTGCATCAAACATTATCCAGTGATTGTTCTCCCACAAAGCTGTGTCCGGTTTAAATCACTATTACAGATACTTATTTCAGTGTGACAGACATGAATATTCTCCACGTAAGAAGACCATATATTTGAATGATTTAAATGTTAAAATTTGAGTGTTTCATTAGACATTTCATGGGACTTGTTTACCGTTTTTTTTTCACTTCTTCGTTGGTGAAAATGAATATAAATATTCGTTCGATAACTACATGTAACTAACAGACTGTGTCACGAGAGCAGTGAGCAGCCATTGCTTGCTAGTGCTGGAATAGGAATAGTTCACCTTCAAAGTGCACAAATTACACGTTCAATGTATTGGTATACATAGACGAGACATCAATATAGAATCCAATAATTTTATTGACAGGCCGCACTAGACTGGTATCCAATTGTTATTTTTCTTTATGCTTCGGTTTTTTCATTTTACTATTCTAACGTAATGATGAAAACAAGGGAAATCTACTCGAAAGCGAACGGCTGTTGCACTTTGATCGTCAATATGGTTTATAATATGTGAATGGATGATGCATAAATTATTTGCTTAACTGAAAAGCGCATCTATCATTCGAAATTAAGTTATGTAATATTAACTAGGTGTGGTAATTAAACGGTGTTAACATTAGAAACTCTTCTCAATTGTAATTATCATACTCAAATTTAATTATCATAGTGAATTATTTTTACCATAAACTAATTATAACATCTGTGGATGTAGTTTTTAACAGCGGGCTGTAATTATATAGTACATTAGATCATCGGTTACGCCAGTTGATCAAACCCTTGGGTTCAGGGAGGTTGCGGTAAAGGGAGGGTTTGATTCAAATGTACAGGCCTGGAATGGAACAAATACTTCATTGAAAAATTGGTTCGATTTGAGCGATATGAGACTTCTTGTGTATCGAGATAAAGACAGATTTTTATCACAATAGAAAATTTTTCGAAAATATCATAATTTTTCCATCTTTTGGTATTGCTTCAAAGTCATGTTCAAAGCTGTGCATCAGATCTAAGCCAAGGAACTTTATAATGTTAAAAAACATATATTATCAATCAGACGCATAAAATTTTCTTTCAGTCCAAGGTAACCGTTTCGTTGCTATGCAAAATATATTTGGAAGCATGATATTATTCCTATGTCAATTTATTATCTTTTTTTAAAAGACAATAGCATGTCTTGTCTGTTATCGCATATTCTTCTCTCTTTAACTTAATTAGTATCATATTTCTCAACGTAACAACTTTGCTCATGAAAGCATTTCGGTTCATGGTTCACGATCTAGGGCACCAGTGCCTCTTCTCTGTGGGTACCAATGGGGCAATTGAAAATTTCCAATTTACTGATATAATTATCAGCTAGTGATTCTGACTTCTATGTCAACTGAGAAACAATTTGTTGTTATAGTCAAGGTCTCTATTCTAATGCTTCATTTGAAGTCCTTACTGAGCACGTCGTCAGATAATTAACCAAGAGCACGCCATAAGCGTGAAGGAAATGTCAAAATCTTTTGAATTTACTGCACTCATCAGACGTTTCTCTTTCCCATGAAAACCCTAAAAAACGACCATTTGCGATCATATGGCGACTAAAATGTATTTGGTCGCTGACAAACGTAAAGAAAACGCGAGAAAAAGTCCTTTAAATCACAAATTCTATCACAGTCGTTATCAAGCTGAGATATATGCGACCATACTGCGCTCTAAAGTCACGTTCAAATAAAATCTATTGTCTTCGTGCATTCATTTTATTGTCTTTATGAAGATGTTACTACGCTTGTCTAAAATAACACGTACCTGAAAATGCTTAGGTTCCGGAAATGTCACAGGTTTCCAATTGTAAAAAAAAATGTAACACTTAACTTTCCCAAGTTTCAAAGGACTATAGTCATGATTTTTAGGTTAAGTTTCATTCAATCGTTAAATGCCTTGTATTCTGCAAAAAGGCAAAGAAGAATGCCAATAGTCCACTTTTCAGTGCATAAAACTCGAGCTATTTTTGCATATCAAAGTGAACAGGGAGAGTTAAAACCATACCTATGTCATTTGAGGCTAAATATGGACTGTTTTTATCATAATATTATAAGCACATAAGATTACATAAAACCTCTCTATTCTTGGTATTTCTTCTTTTAATTATAGAAGCATTGACGGACATAGTTTGATAGTCTGGCTCATAGATAAACATCTTGATAGACAATATAAACATCTTGATAGACAATATATAAACATGTGATGGTAAAATGTTACATTGCTCTGTTCTTAGTAGGTAATATAAACATCTTGATACACAATTTAAACATCTTGATAGACAATATATAAACATGTGATGGTAAATGTTACTTTGCTCTGTCCTTGATAGGTAATATAAACATCTTGATAGGTAATATAAACATCATGATACACAATATAAACATCTTGATAGACAGTATATAAACATGTGATGGTAAATGTTACTTTGCTCTGTCCTTGATAGGTAATATAAACATCTTGATAGGTAATATAAACATCATAATAGACAATATAAACATCCTGATAGACAGTATATAAACATGTGATGGTAAATGTTACTTTGCTCTGTTCTTGATAGGTAATATAAACATCTTGATAGGTAATATAAACATAATAATAGACAATATAAACATCCTGATAGACAGTATATAAACATGTGATGGTAAATGTTACTTTGCTCTGTTCTTGATAGGTAATATAAACATCTTGATAGACAATATAAACATCCTGATAGACAGTATATAAACATGTGATGGTAAATGTTACTTATAAACATCGTGATAGACAGTATATAAACATGTGATGGTAAAATGTTAAATTGCTCTGTTCTTAGTAGGTAATATAAACATCTTGATAGACAATATAAACATCTTGATAGACAATATATAAACATGTGATGGTAAATATTAATTTGCTTTGTTCTTGATAGGTAATATAAACATCTTGATAGACAATACATCAACATGTGATAGTAAAATGTTACTTTGCTCTGTTTTTGATAGGTAATGTAAACATCTTGATAAGCAATATAAACACCTTGATAGACAACATAAACATCTTGATAGACAATATATAAACATGTGATGGTAAAATGTTACATTGCTCTGTTCTTAGTAGGTAATATAAACATCTTTATAGACAATATAAACATCTTGATAGACAATATATAAACATGTGACGGTAAAATGTTACTTTGCTCTGTTCTTGATAGACAATATAAACATCTTGATACACAATGTAAACATCTTAATAGACAATGTAAACATCTTGATAGACAATATATAAACATGTGATGGTAAATGTTAATTTGCTTCGTTCTTGATAGGTAATATAAACATCTTGATAGACAATACATCAACATGTGATAGTAAAATGTTACTTTGCTCTGTTTTTGATAGGTAATATAAACATCTTGATAAGCAATATAAACACCTTGATAGACAACATAAACATCTTGATAGACAATATATAAACATGTGATGGTAAAATGTTACATTGCTCTGTTCTTAGTAGGTAATATAAACATCTTTATAGACAATATAAACATCTTGATAGACAATATATAAACATGTGATGGTAAAATGTTACTTTGCTGTGTTCTTGATAGGTAATATAAACATCTTTATAGACAATATAAACATCTTGATAGACAATATATAAACATGTGACGGTAAAATGTTACTTTGCTCTGTTCTTGATAGACAATATAAACATCTTGATAGATAATATAAACATCTTGATAGATAATATAAACATCCTGATAGACAATATATAAACATGTGACGGTAAAATGTTACTTTGCTCTGTTCTTGATAGACAATATAAACATCTTGATAGATAATATAAACATCTTGATAGATAATATAAACATCTTGATAGACAATATTTAAACTTGTGATGGTAAAATGTTACTTTGCTCTAATTTCATTTTGAACAATGCCCTCTGTAGTTCGGATACTTGTGATATAACCAGAATAAAAAAGAACAATAGTAATTGTAATATATGATAAATAAATATAAAAACTTGAGCCAATTAAATTTATTTGAATATCATTTGAAGATAAAATATTAAACAGCTTTTGTTTTCACTTTGTATGTTAACATTGATTTGTTATGAAAATTACGTTGTTTAAAATTAAATTAAAGATTTGTTTTTTGATTATACTAGTTGAAAGTAGATGTACAAGTATAGGAACAGACTTTAGCTTTGGATCAATACAGTATTGATGATGATCACAGCTCTTATTATCCACCTCTATAGACTACTGTCATTTGATCATGTGCCTTGAAACAGTTCGTTCCTTACACGACTTGATAATATATCAAAGTTTACGTTTTATCACATTTGACGATTTACCACAACTGAGCAAAGAGTTTGCGAAATTTTTTCTCTTCGCACTTAAGCATTAAAATGATGTACAAATTTTTCCTGTTGACATCGAAGTATCATTTCGAGAACAAAAGATAAATTTTTTGCCGGAACTTCAGCTTGGAATAATGGGTACATTCAATCTGACAGAATACAATATAACTTTTTTCAGTGATAACAAAACCGATCAAGTACCGAATGGAACATTATCTCTGTTTAATAACTCCTCATCAACTCGTTTTTATGAATGGGTTTTAGTCTGTTTGTTTATAATAGTATTTATAATGGGGCTAGCTGGAAATGCTTTAGTGTGGTTCTCAGTTTCGAGGAATTCAAGGATGCGATCACCAACTAACATATTTCTAGTGAATTTAGCTCTTAGTGATTTCATGGTTCTATTGCTCTGTCTACCACCGACTGTTGTAGCAGACTATACTGGTATGTGGATGTTTGGCAGTGCACTGTGTAAAATAATTACTTATTTACAGGTAAGTCGACCGTTGTCAACCGGGTTCTCTGCATTCGGCGATGTATCAGAGAGGCTTATCTGGAAGCGATTCACAATTTTGTTTTCTTTTTTCTTCTTCAATATAATCTAACAGGTTTTCTACCACAGTACCGTTCTAATGAAGTTCTACCATAGAATGTTATGTAGGAATTTTCTTTGATAGCGAAACTTTAAGTAAAGCAATATTTGAGTCTCAGAGCGTTTCGTTATTCCACAATTAGTCATCATTGTATCAAGAAACAGGCCCTCAAAGAAACGCTTTGATCAGTTAGATGATTAGAACTGGGCTGTGATGGAGAAATTGTCAGATTATCGTGAAGACGACAAATATTGGGAAAAAAAGAAACTTATGGCAATTTATCCTGGAGATAGTGAAGGGCAGGGATATTGGTCTTTGACGAAATAACAGTAACTACCCATTCGCACCTACGATCTCCCAAAGTTCGGCTACGAATCAAGAGTCTACCCGCACGCTATCTCAACAAATAGCTATAGAAGTTTTACAAGAAGAAAGTAATCATCTACAAATCTCTTACTAAAACTAATGATTAGAAAAGAAAATGCCATTGGGCAAATAGTAAAGTACATGTTAGTATATTTGATAATACGTTGATTAATAATGGTAACAAAAGTAACTGTTTTAATATCCTGAAAAATGTTTTTTTGTGAACAATCTGTGTTTAATCATTTCTTATTTCCCCGAAGACATTAAGAACTTCCTGTTTGAAAAAGAAATACAATTTTACGCCATACTTTTCCAACAGCGTTTAATGATTGAATAACGGAATTCACAATTTTTCAACAATTTACATTTCCATCATCATTTTTTTCACCTGATGACGACAATGTAAATCGTCGAAACGATGTGTACAAAAAAATCAAGAGTTTAAATATTGGCAAGAATATAAATGCTATTTCCTTGCCATTGATTTAAATTATGACAGACGCGTTATATATCTGGTATGACTATTTTAAACTATATTCTATATATAATGACTTGGAGCTGATATTTAATACTGATCAACACAGCCATCCGAAACCAATATTTTTTTCCATGAAATGAATTCGCTTTTTTTTTTAATTCCGTCAAGTATAAATCACTTATCACTTGTTTCCGACTTTTCACATAAATGTAAAAGTACTAATTGGCTAGGTATGGTGTACGATGAAGAATTATCAATACGGTAGAAAAAGAAGAAGCGAATGCTCGAGATACGGCTCCGGGCAATCTGCTGTTTCTATTCTCTATCACATTGATTATCCCACATGTAAGACGGATTTTTTTTTAGCTAAGCCAACCAGTAATAGTGTCCACAGCTAACCGTCGAAATTTGAGCCTTCAAATCCATGAGTGTCTAGAATTATCTGCGTTTAAATGTTGAAATGACAACTCGTCACTTTAAGATGTTCTATGACATTTAGAACAGATATATATAGAAATAGTGAGTAAAATTCCTTGTTTGAAGTATTTATAAGGAACTGTGATTTTCGCACATTTCTAGTACTTCTGGAGACTGTCTCCGGACACAATCTGTTTGTATTGTATCGACAGTCCAGCACCGTACTCTATACTTATTAAAGAATATAATTTCGTGGTTTATTAACGTAATCATTCCATATTTTTGTAATTAAAATTTTAGCCTCCCCAAACGTGTACTTGTTGTTAACACAAGAGAAATACAGAATATCGACATTTATCTTCACATTTGACAGGTTTTCGTTTTCATTGTAAATCCAAACGAATTGGGCTAATAAAACGTCATTTATTGTACAAAGAGACACAACGGCTCCTAAATGGTAATTCGGAAACTTTGTTTTGTATATACATGTACTTAAATTGCCAAAAACCGCTTTTAAGATCCACTAAGGATTTGATTGCAGCACAGGAAATCTTTGACAATAGGCGTATGCTATTTCAATCATATAACAGATTTAAAGTGCTTTCATTTTTCAATTAACATAATCATTGCCAAACCTTGATTTTCTTTTCATTTTTTGAACAACTGCTATAGGGCAAGTCTAAACAGATATTCTGATTTTTTATAATTCGAAAGTGATGTCTATTTGTAGTATCAATAATTTCTCTTTGTAGCTTAGAAAATAGACCAACATTGTTATTTCAATTATTTTCTTCAGAACTAAGGGTTAGGACAAAATTAGTAATTAATTTCTCAGTATACTGGTATGATTTTCTTATAATAAAGTAGATGTGTCTAAAGTCGTATGATCATAAAAAAAATATCAAAGAATTGCCAACGTAATCCAAATCTGATACAAAAATAGCATCTTTCCGGAAGAAGTAACTGTCTTAAACTGGTATAGCTTTTTCCTTCTTTCATATTGACAAGAAAAGGATCACAGAAAACATACGGATTTTACAATGTTCCGGAATAGAAATAAAAATAAAACCTGATAATCCTTGTTATCCTTTCTACAGACTACAATGTATTTCAGAGTTTTTTTTAAAGCGGTAATCGACCTTAAATTTTTCGATAAAGTAACCTGTTTTATTTTGACATGTTTCAGTCTGCGACATGGCAGATTTTAATCAAAATTAAATGATAGATAATGAGTTTAAAACCTTTTCAGTCAATAATAATTGTCTGGTCTAGTTTACCAGGATTCAAACAATACAATACATGTCAACTGGAAGCTTATTCTCTTAAAAATTATTGACTAGTATTTAATAAAGCATTAGAAATGGAAACGAATCAATGGATTAGGAAACGGAGAATTTCAATCCTTTTAAGTCTTATACCTCGAAGTGTTAAGAGATAGACAGATAACAACTTTACAAAGCCTTGAATAGGTCATTTCAATACAGGTTAAAAGGTTCCGTGAGAGGGATGACGTGTAATCAAATGAATCTACGTTTTCATCACTTTACTTGATGAAACCTCCACTATCATGAAAGAAACGTGCAATCGAGGGGGGCAATTTAGCAAAGCACCTTAACAGACGATTAAACGTCGGGAAAGGGACTTTCATGGAGTATTTTAAATTCGAGATTATTTTTGTTAAAACACACAAGTTATAATACGTTACATTTTTATTGCCGTTTTAGTTTAAACGTAGTCGGGTATGTTTTATGGCAAAACGTTGAACAAATACGTCCAAGTTATTTTTCTGGGTCTTCCTGTTGAAGGAAAGAAGAACAAGACTGTGCTGGCGAAGCTGAGTCATAGATCGTCGTTGTGGTGAGTCAACGCGAGTAAGAGTTGAAAAGCTGCTTTCACACACAGCGGTACTAGAACCGAATGTGGCAACGCTTGCAGCCAGTGCATATAATTTAGGGAAAGCCAACTTCTGCTCGTATAGTTTTTGAAGAACAAGATTGTAGTCCTGATTTTCTGTCTTGGCAACGTTATCTTGGAGAAATTGTTTTGACATCTAAATTGTTATGCTTCTCGAGGACCTTTCCAGTATCACCTACAGCATGCTTCCAATCTGTGTAGCCTTCAGTGATGAATTTTTATGCACCCGCAGATGTATTGTGAAACACCCGACATGGAAATCAAAAAGGGGCGTTCTTAACACTGAATACTCCAGCCATGGAAATCGATCATACCAGCTGTTACTAAAATGGCGACCAGACTTCGCTGAAAATTTTATTCTCGATTGCTTTGGAGCGTCTTCTTTTCCAATGTCACCTGGTACTCCTGTCTTTTCAGAGCATCTTGGTACTACATCCGTTGTGTTGCCCGCTGTGGTTTTGATACCATTGTCAGTCGTAGTAGTGTCGGAACCATCAAGCAATTTGTCTTTTTTGATCAAATATTTATACATTTTTCCTACGTTTGGTTGTTTGATTCATATGAATACAATTTAGGATAATATATGTCTATTAGTATTTATAATCAACCAATCAAATCTTTTGAATTTTGAGACGGGACAGATTACAATCCAGTATCAGACCAATAATTTTGTTACCAATGACGCTTTACTGCAGCCTTTTTATGATTTTCAACGAACTCAATTGTATCAAATTTTCTATTCTAATGTAATTAAATTTAAAAATGTTATGAAAAGCTATAATGTCTGGTTTCATCCTCAGCTAAGAATAAACAGAAAGATATTTAAAAACAGTTCTTAGGTATACAGATAGGAATACTTAGTATTGTGTTGAACCATTTCGCATAACGCAGCCCTGAAAGGCTACGGGCCTGGACAGCCTTACTTAATCTCTATATTTAAGATGACAGCAATGACTTATATATATTCCATTATTTTAAAGTGGTACTACGTCTTACAATAAACATAAAATTTAAGTTCTCGAAATGGTCAATATGAGTATATATTCTTCAGTTAACTTGCTTGGTGTCATAAAGTTACAACAGAATCCCTTTAAAATCTGGGAAATTGGAAAATATATAAAACTAAGTAAGTTTTGTGGATTTATCGGATTATATAAGGATCCTGTTATGTTATTTATTTATCTTATTCGTCAAGTTTAAAATTCTTAAATTTTATGTTAATTCTAAGACGTAGTACCACTTTAAACATCAAGAAAATAGGTGAAATACGGCCCAGACTTACTAATAACTTTACTCAAATAGTTAAGTATTTTCTATACCGTATTGTAATAATAAAGCAATTCCTATTGACCTAGGTAGTTCTGCGGACTCTGTCATCAAGGCTAATTATTCTTGTTATTTTTTTTATACGAACTAACGTGGTAAGAAGCCATAATACTCCCTCATCATGTTGGCTTCGAGTTATATCTATCACCTTCGTTTTAATCACATAGTATAGCTTTCTCCTACGATCTTCAAAAACTCTGATAAAGCTGTGATTACATGTAACATGTGTGCGTAAGCGTATCTCAAACTCAAAACGTGATTACATGTGTCCGTACGATAATTCCGCAAAACCGCCAATAAAGTGAATCCGCGTGTGATTGGGTCAAGGAATAAAGAAAGAGAGGAAAGTCCCTCGCAGTAATGATGTCATCAATGGATTCAAATATTTTTGCACCGAACC